TTTCAATTGTCTCGGACGACGAGATTTGAGGACGAGAACGAGCTAATTAGATATTTTACAATGAAAAGTAAAAGTGCAAAATGTAATTATTATCATTATGAAGATCGATTATTGGCGCGCATAAATTATATCTATGACCGTATAACGAATTTATCATAATTTTTAACATGCAGTATAGTAATTAATATTCGGCTTATTATCAAACATGATAAAATTTTTAGTGAATTTTGCGGACAAATATAACGAAAAATTCTCTTTACATATGTGTGTCTGTCCATATAGCGTATATGTATATAAACGTTGTCATAAACATATATTTTTGTCACCTCTAAAATGTTATTATTGTAAACAAATGATGAAAAATAATAAGGAAATTCGAGATATTAAGTAGATTTGAACTGTACATGCGTCATTTTCGATAGAAACGAACATTTATTCGCGAACTTTTTCTTTTTTTTTAGTAAGAATTACGTCTCGCGTGACTGGAAACACATCTCCTCGTGGAACACAATCGGTGATAGTACAAGGAACATCATATCAACGATGCCACAAAGAAACGAGCATTGGATAATGAGATTTTTTGGAATGAAAAGTAACATTGCAGAATGTAAATTATGTGACTATAAGACATCACTATTTGAATCCGTAGAAGATATGCGCCTTCATTTAACTCATATACATAACCCTGCCTGGAAAGAATCTATGAGTCAATTAACTATCCCCTGGCCTCATTTGATTTGGTGTTACTTCTACATAAACAATGATGGCAACGCAAAATGTTGTAAAGAAAATTGTCAAATAACGTATAATTCCAGTTTAAATAAGATAAGAGATATGAAACTACATTTTATAAGTGCCCATATATTTCGACTTTCTGGCAGCATTTATGAATGGACAGTACCACACTATAAAATAAGTGAACGTGAGCGCAACCATCGCTACTTAGTGAGAAAATGTGAAATACCTAATTCTAATTTTGTATATCGCAAAAACATGGGCACGTTTGTATTATTATTTGGGCATTTAATTTTTCACCATAATTTAATACCTGACTCATCAATAAGATTGTTCAAAGATTCTTCTGGAAATTTTTGTTTGCGATAATGATTTACGGTGATGAGGTAAATAGCAATAATTTTTATAATTGAGATAAGATATTATTTTTTATATATCTTCTCAATTATTTGCATGCATTTTTATGAACAATAAACAAATTATATTCAAATGTTGACACTTTTGTTATAACTACTATAAATATTTAAATCAGCTATTTGCATTCATTCATATCTTAAAAGCACTATAAGTGTTAAATTAAATATTATTTTTTTCTTTTATTTATTCTCAATTACTTGCAGTGTTTACTGTTATTTAACAAACAATAAATAAAATTATACAGATGATCATCTAGATGATATTCTGGCTTCATTCTTATCTTTACATAAACAGTAACATTATGTATTATCTATGCACCTTCGATGAAAAAAAGTGCTATCTTCACTAAATTATTTAGATTTAGAATAATGTTTAAATAATTTTGCTTAGTGTTGTAGCACATAAAATACTTAATTAGGAGAACTTAATCAATAAGCAATAAAAATCATAACTGAATATTTTTTAACAAACACAGTTGTACATATATTTGATATTAAAGAGCCTTGAGTTAATCTTACTGTTTAATAAACATAAGTATGAATATATACTTTTATATTTCTTTTATAATTTACATTGTTCTATAACTGTGTTTACATAAGCGGTCTTAAAATATTAGCCGTATATTATCTAGATGAATCGGAATGTAATATTATCCTGTATTTAAGTAATATTTAAATTAAAAACATTTCTTTATTTCATCTAACAAGATAAATTTATATATTTTCATTTCATCTTTATCTACCTAATTAAAAAATTTTCTAAGCGCAACAATGATTACTGCAAGCACTTTTATTTATGTAATAAAAGTGCTTGCAGTAAGCGCAATGAAATTCAAATGTTAGTTCTTTTATCATATAAATATATAAAATTATCTACGTATAGCGCATACATTTGTATTTGAAAACATTAGAAGTTAATAAATATCAACTTTGTTTCGTTAATTTTAAATATGTCATCAGCATTCGATTTACACAATTTGAAAATATATATTATTATATATATAAATATTAAGATCTTTTTTGATGCGGAAAATATTTAGAAATTGTCCAATATAAAACAACGCACATAATTTAAGAGAAAAATTTTCTAATATGAATTATTCTGAATTTTTATTGATTTAATTTTTCATCTAACTTTCAGAAGATTAATGAAATGTTTAACAACATGGACGCAGGTTTCAAAAGAAATGAGGCTAACGTATTATCATGGACATGGACAATAAAATAAAATAAGAAATTCATATTTTTGACTTTATCGCTTTATCTTTTTATTATATGGCGTAAATAATCTTATTTTATTTTTATTATATCTAATTATATTAAATAAACGACGAAACTTATATTTTTTATTTATTTCGTAATTAAGCATTTTACATCAAGATCTTTATCTAGATACTTGTATTTATTAAATGTATTTTATAAACATATTTATTTTATATAATATATATTATATATAATATATATTATACATAATCTATAATTATATATTCATCATTCTTTATATATATTATATGTTTTATAACTTATAAAGTATAATTATATATCAATTTATATGTATATAAATATAATATATATAGAGTAATATAATGTTATAAATGTATAAAATTATCTGTAAATGCATATAATTATGTAACTGCAGAACTGCACTGAAAAAAAATTTGTTAACTTAACTAAATCTTTCAACTAAATTACTATTATTTTAATTGAACATATATATTAGTATTTAACTCAAATATATATATGTTTTGTCAGATTTAATATGTTATATTTAATTTAAAAATTTTTATATGTTGAATTAACAAATTATTTAGATAAAAGACTCAGTAAAGTTTACAATTTTCTTTCGCAGTGTGTCTCAAATTATATGTAAACGCATATATTATGTTAAATATTTTATAACTAAGAATCGGCATACATTTAAAAATGTCTTTTATCTAGATATCTATCATTTTTAAAAATATTATATAACATATTTATATGTTATATAATATATTTTACATAATTTATATATAGTGATTTCTATTACATGTATAATATTTTATATAAATATTTATATATATTATGTATATAATATTTTATATAATTTATAATTATCTATTTATAGAAATAATATTAACGAAATGTACTAAAAATCCTTGTACACATAATATAAGTTTCTTCCAAATAAAATATTAATTTTTGAACAAAAGTATATATTCTTATAAGTTGCTATACCTATAAAATTGTAAGATGAAAATAGAAAGTTGATATATCATAATTACATACATACATTCTTTATTGTGCTCCCAGTGAGAATTACAAGGCACTTTTATAAGGAGTGGTCCCGAACATTTTTTTTTTACGAACAAAATTCATATTAATATTCTAGTCATAATTTACTAAATTCCTCTACAACCCTTGTTCTTCATTTCAATCCTTTCCTTGCTTTTTCCCTTCCTCTCTTCTCTATCCATTTGGCTCCTACTTTTGTCCTTCTTTATCTTTTTCTTCCTATTTGTCCTAAACTTCCCTTCTTCTTCTCTTAATATGCTATTCTCTCTAAATCCTCTTTCTCCTTCTGTTCCCCTTTCTCTTCACATTCCATTCCCTCTTTATCTTCTATCCTTTCTACTTATCCCTTACTAATTCCAGCTTTCCTACCTAATACCCTCTTTATCCCAACATCATGGATCATCCTCTGTATTTTCTTCCACAATTCTTTTTCACACCACGTTGTTCCTTCTCCTTTCTGTTTTCTCTTCCTCTTCTCTTCTATTTCTTTCCGCACTCTTTTTCTTCTTTCTTTTCTCTTCTTCCCTTTTTTCTTTCTTCTTTCTTTTCTATTCTCCCCCAAATCTTTTCACAAATATAAATCATCTTTAAACAATAATTTAATGGTTAAATATCTAATTTAAATAAACCTTTAAATCGAGTTTCGTTTACATCTATTGTAATATTTGAAATTTACAAACATTCTTTTAGTCACATAAATGGCATAATATATGACAATATATTAATATTTTAGGAAATAAATTATTATTTTTAAAATAATTATAGAGATAAAAACAAATATGAGTTTCACTTACAGACTGTTTCAATATTTGCTTAAAACACATAATTCTATTTTTTTATATATAATGAAATTCATTTTGGTAAACGTACTCATTTAATTTCATTAATCTAGTTTGAATATATCCGTGTGGTATAGCTTCGACATATTATAAATGTTGGAAAAGAGTTTCTGATTTACATCGGCAATTAGTATTTTTCTATTAAATTTATCTTTATATATCGCATCTATTATTTAACAAATTAATAAGGTGCGAGTCTTAATATTTTCTTTCTAAAAAGCGAAAATTTTATTAAACATGACAAAATATTTTAGGCAAACGCATTTGTCAAGGCAATATTTTCACGAAAACTCGCTCATTCAAACACATGAAATTTTCGACTGTAATAAAATATTATACAGAGTAAGCCACCTAACAACGCATCTCCATCTCCTTTCTTCGTTCTTCATTATTATGTTAATTATTATCTGTCTTGTTAGAAAAATATAGAAGACCACATTAATGATTAAGTAAAGTCATATTTAATTAAATATAATATGTATGATATATAGTGATAATATATGTTAAATTGTTTGAAATCATTTTTAGTTTTTTTAGATTAATATGAATTTAAAGAAACATATTTAAAATCGAGTCTAGAGCTCGGATTTCCACTCGATTTCTCGGGTCGCGTGCGAAGCTTCGCGAAATACCAAATATTTCTCGAGGAGACCCGATTGTTAATTCGGAAACGATCGATAGGCGTCGGATCTCGGGACATCGTGATTTAGGGATAATGCTATTATATATGTTTCCAAACAAACTCACAGTCAAGATTCAGCCACGAAAAGTGTACAAGAAATGTAAGCAGTGTCTTGTGCGCGATAACGCGAATGTTTCAAATTCTTATTGCCTACGTTACAAAGATTTAATAGTGTAAAATGTGTAAAAATATATAAAATATTTATTTATAAGAAATATATGAATAATATATTAAGAAAAAATGAATACAATATATTTTTAATTTATTTAAAAAAAATATATATATATATATTATTAATAATATATATAATTAAACATTTAATGATAAATAAATATTTATATATATATTTATATATTTATTTTTTAAATAATACATCATTTAAAAATTATTAAATTTAATAAAATTTAAAATAATATATTAATTATTCAATAAATAGCTAAAATAGTGGGGTGCATTGAAAGAAAAAGTCAAAACGTTAAATCTATTAATTGAAGAAAACAAATTTATATATTTATTTTTTAAATAATATATTATTTACAAAATTATTAAATTAAGAAAAATTTTAAATAATATATATTAATTATTAAATAAATAGATAAATAGTAGGGTGCTTTGAAAGAAAAAACAACAAGTTAAAACTATTAATTGAGAAAGACAAGCGCATATCAACTGAGAATGTTAGTACATTAGTTTAGGTATTTATTTTAGATATATGTATTTTGTAAAATCTGTACATATATATAATCGACGATACATTTTTATCATATAAATGGTACATTGCGCATTTCTCACATTAGGAACGAAAACGACATAATTAACTTTCCTCGCGCGTTTACGGCAATAATTTTTATATGTTGATTTCAATAAATGTGTTTGTAAAAGCTACGCAAATTATCAACTCTTTACCATTACTCAATGTTACATCATTTCTAAAAAAAAATAATTTTGTATACAGTTGAATGAAAATTATATTTAAAACTTCCACAGGCAAAATCGTCTTATCCGGAAAACACTCGGCAACATATATGAAAAAAATGTTGTTGTAGCCGGTCTATACGTAAAGGCCCAATAATATTTTTTCATACGTCTGCAAACTTTCTAAGTCAAAATATGTGTAACAGAAGTAATTCACGTATCAAAGAAAATTGATTGGACTTATGACAGATGTGTATTAAAAAGATCTCAGCAAACACCGATATATTATTGTTACATTGCTATAATAATACGGAATATAACAGGTAATATAACGTGTACGTTACATGTAACATTTATGTTAGTTGTAATTTCCCACTCATAGATGTAACATTTTAATATAACATATATTACATTGTTATACTGTAATTATATACCAAATAGCACATTGATGTATTGATAAGTCAGTGCTATCTTAAGATATAATGACAATATAACTACAATGTAATATATGTAATATTAAAAATGTTACATCTATAAGTGAGAAATTACAACTAACATATACGTTACATGTAACATACTTAAATATATAACATTTATATACTGTGTTTGCTGAGAATAAATATATTTTATGCATGAATTGCGATAATAATTTTACACATGCGTTGCAATTGTTAAGGATTTATTATCAAAGAATAACTTCGCCTCGCGCACGTAATTATATTCGATTAAACTAAATAAAATTAGAAAAGAATATATAAAAAGATACATATATACAAAATAGTTCTCAAACAATACATTACAAATTCGGCGAATTAAAATTATGTACATAATAGTGATACAGCGAAATAAAATTATGTACGTAATAGAAATTTGGCAAGATAAAATTATGATTATATTGATAGCATCGAGCAATCGTCATCTCGCAGATTAACAGTTTGACAATAATAAAATAAATTATGGAAATATAATATTAATGGCACACGCTTATATTGTCGCTATATATGTAAGTTACAAATATATCAATTGATGTTAATATATATATAGATTAAATTCAAATCATCTGTTTGTATGTAAAAATCGTATTTCTCACTTAATTTGCAGACGATTATTTTATAATTTTATTAGAAACATTACTGAATAACTGTGTCATAAATGTTCAATTATAAGCTTTGTTCTTCTAACACAACGTAAGAAATTGAAAATATATTGAAATTTTTATGTAAGCAGTATAACATTCTTCAATTATTTATTACCTGGCTACTGTTTAGCCGTTATCAACTAAACAAAAAATTTTGTCCGACGATAATCATGTCGTAAATTATCTTTGCTAATCTTAGATTAACGAAAATTAAAGAACAGACTCTTAAACAACTCTAGAATTTATAGATTTATCATCTTAAGTTGTATATCTATTTTTACTCGCATATATGTAAGTGTTCGTAATATACAAATCAGAAGCAATAATTAAAATGTTAACATTGCAGGTATACAAAATAGGCTTATAATAAAGAGTGGAGAGAGAGAGAGGAAAACGGGGGCATAATTGTATTTTGAATGAGATAAATACATATGTATTTTTAGTATAAATACGAATCATTTTTAAAATACTGTTTAAATATATCATTTTCAAATTATCGTTAAGATGAAACAGCAAACATAAAAAATTAATAATGTTGAATTTGAAAGAAATTCGCTTGAATAAATGTTTATAATAAAAATAGTTTAAAATATTTTTAAATATGAATAAAATTTTGTATTATTTTTTAGTTTTATAATATACAAATAATAAAGAGAAACAACTAATTATTTAAAAATTTTTACATACGCATGTGCGCAGACACACATAAGATAAACGTATCCAGCCAAACAATTATAAACACAAGGCAGGGAAGACGCACACGAATACAGAGGGACATACATAAAGGCAAACGTACACAACACGATGCAAAAAATCTCATCAGCATCTTTCGATGTTCTCGCATATTTTCAGTAGAATATAAATTGGATCGACAGACAGACGTGCCGAACAGAGCTTCATAGCGAATATTACTTGGAAAATACGTCACTCTTTATCATTTTGCATCCTGTTCCTTAGTGCAATTGAAGCCAAGAGAGATCAACAATATAAATAGTGAGTTCAGTTAAAATTACTTATTTAATTAATACTATTGAAAGTCAAAAATATATATATGTGTGTAGTTTAAATCTGTTCAATGTCTCCAATTTCTCTCTAATAATGTTTCATTACGTACTTACACATACATGCCCATATACATATAATATACATACATACATATTTATATATATATATATATATATATATACATACAGAGAGAATTTTTTTCCATTAGCATTTAACCTGAAATGTATGGTAACCGTGAGACAATGTGGTACTGGAAGAATTATATTAGAATTTCTCTGATTAATATTTACCGCGATAAAAAATATTCATATCTACAACAATAAGATATAAATTTAATTTAAGTTTATTTGCATAAATATATATAATAATGTTTCGAGAATGTTTAATATATTAAAATATTCTGATTTTCTCTCCTTGAAGTGTTTTCATAAATCGAATGTATGCCAGAGAAAGTGATAAACATATATTTTATATAAATTTTATGATACAGCATAATATTTTCAATTTTATTGTTACGATATTAGATTTGAAAACGAGGACTGGCTAATGAAATATTATACAATGGAAAGTAAAACTGCAAAATGTAATTATATCATTATGAAGATTGATTATTGGCACGCATAAATCATATCTATAATCATATAACAAAATTAAATATTAATAATTTCAATATTAATAATTTCATAATTCATAATTTTAACATAGAGTTTAGTAATTATTATTCGACTTATTTTCAAACATGATAAAATTTGTAGTGAATTTTGAGGACAAATATAACGAAAATTCTCTCTACATATTTGTGTCTGTCCTTATAACGTATATGTATATAAACATAGTTATAAATATATCTTTGTCACTTCCAAAATGTTATTATTGTAAACAAATGATGAAAAATAACAAGGAAATTCGAGACATTAAGTAGATTTAAACTGTGTACATGTGTCATTTTCGATGGAAACGAACATTTATTCGCGATCTTTTTCTTTTGTTTAGTTAGAGTCACTTCTTGCGTGACTGGAAAAACATTTTCTCGTGGAACACAATCGGTGATAGTAAAAGGAACATCATATCGACGATGGCAGAAAAAAACGAGAATTGGATAATGAGATTTTTTACAATGAAAACTAACGTTGCACAATGTAGATTATGTGCCTATAAGAAATTACTATTTAAATCCGTAAGATGTATCTGTCAGCATATAAGTGATACACATAACTCTGACTGGACAAAATCTATGAAGCGATCAACTATCCCCTGGCCTCATATGATTTGGCGTTACTTCTACATAAGCGATGATGGCGATGAGGTCTCTGCAAAATGTCTTAAAGATTGTGAAGTAAAGTTTCCATTCGATCGAATTAAGATGCTAGAAATGCAAGTACATTTCGTAGGAACCCATATCAAAACTCGCAATATAAACATAGATAAATGGATATCACCATATTATAAAATAAAATCCCGTAATAGCAGGAATAGACCATTAGAGAAACAATGCAAAGAACCTAATTGCAATTGGGTACAACACCCATACATGCCGTATGCATGTTTATTTGGGCATTTGGTTCTTGATCATAAATTTAATCCTCACCAATCAATAAGGACGGGAAGAGAAGCTGCAAAAAATTTCGTTTCACCAGAACGCCCTAATGGTAAATAGCAATAACTTTTATAATTGAGATAAAATATTATTTTTTATGTCTTCTCAATTATTGCATGCATTTTTATGAACAATAAGCACATTATAATCAAATGTTGCCACTTTTGTTTTAACTATTATAAATATTTAAATCAGTTATATTAAATTCATTTGTATCTTAAAAGCACTATAAGTGTTAAATTAAACAGTATTTTTATTTTTATTTTTTCTCAATTACTTGCAGTGTTTACTGTTTAACAAACACTAAATAAAATTATACAGATGATCATCTAGATGATATTTTGGTTTTATTCTTATATTTACATAGACAATAAAATTATGTATTATCTATGCATTTTAAATGAGAAAGAGTGTTATCTTCACTAAATTATTCAGATTTAAAATAATGGTTAAATAATTTTACTTAGAGTTATAGCACTTAAAAATACTTAATTAGTAGAACTTAATTAATAAGCAATAGAAATTATAACAGTGAATATATTTCTAATAAACATAGTTGTATATACATATATTTGATCCTAAAGAGCCTTGAGGTAATCTTAGTGTTTAATAAACATAAGTATGAATACCCTTTAATAATTTACATTGTTTTTGAACTGTGTTTACATAAGCGGTATTAAAATAATATTAGCTGTATAAGTTATCTAGATGAATCGCCGTGTAATTTTATCTTTTATCTAAGTAATATTTAAATCAAAAACATATCTCTCTATCTTATCGAAAATTAACTTATATATATAGTTTTTCTTCTCATCTTTATTTAGCTAATTTTAAAATTTTCTAAGCACAACAATGATTACTGCAAATACTTGTATTCATGTGCAATAAGCGCAAGAAATTCAAATATTAGTCTTTTTATCATATAAATATATAAATATATAAATTATCTACGTATAGCGCATACATTTGTGTTTTGAAAGCATTAGAAGTTAATAAATATCAACTTTGTTACATTAATCTTAAATATGTCATCAACTTTTGATTTACATACAATTAGCAAACATCATCATCAATTTGAAAATATATATTTGTACATCTATAAATATTAGGGTCTCTTTTGGATCCGGAAAATATTTAGACATGTATTCTCGAATTCTCACGAATGTATGAATTATAAGATAAAGTTTAATAGTAACAATTACATTTTGTCCAATATTAAACAACGCACATAATTTAAGAAAAAAACTTTTTAATATTAAAAACAAAGTGATAAATATAAGGCCAACTTATCGAGCTGAATATTCGAGATGTTCAGTCAACTACCATTTATTACATGTATAAATTATAAAACTACAGTCATTATATTAAAACTTACGCAAATTACAATCATTCTATAAACGTTTCGACCGCACGCGGTCTTCTTCAGTATAATTATTGAAATATAAATTCTTACAATTCACATAATATCGAAATTTAATTATAGTTATTCAGAATCAAGAGTTTTTGAGCAATTAACGCGTGTTTCAATCCGTCCTGTCCAACAATGTTCGCCTCGATATGATCCCTGATGTTAAGATCATGGACAACGAAAATAATTATTATAAAAGACTCATTTCTGAGATGCTACATATCAAGGAACAAAAAAATGGACTAAATTTAAACAAAGATACTGAGTTACTTAGCGAGTCGTATTTTGATATTTTGGATATATTAGCGAACAAGAAATAATAATAGGACAAATAGGACATTAACGAGTAAAACATAGATATTAGATCATATATAAACACGCACGCTCTCCGATCAAGTAGAGTTTAAAATGAGCTGTCTTTCTGTATTGTTGGTTTGTTATGTGTCATCCTTAATAACTGTTAATAAGTAGCAAAATTGTCAAGAAGAACGATGATAGGTAAGCATACTACCAATTGTAGGGGATACATATTATAATTTGGACATACGTTGATCGGTAATTTTTATTAATCGCAGCGCCTACGGAACGGGTTAATTTCTCGCATATTAACGATGAAACTATCCGAGATCTGAACAAAATCAGGGATCATATCGAGGCGAACATTGTTGGACAGGACGGATTGAAACACGCGTTAATTGCTCAAAAACTCTTGATTCTGAATAACTATAATTAAATTTCGATATTATGTGAATTGTAAGAATTTATATTTCAATAATTATACTGAAGAAGACCGCGTGCGGTCGAAACGTTTATAGAATGATTGTAATTTGCGTTAGTTTTAATATAATGACTGTAGTTTTATAATTTATACATGTAATAAATGGTAGTTGACTGAACATCTCGAATATTCAGCTCGATAAGTTGGCCTTATATTTATCACTTTGTTTTCAATATACGAGCGACAATTGTATTAATTTCTTTTAATATTATTTATTCTAAATTTTTATTGATTTAATTTTTCATGTAAATTTCAGAAGCTTAATGAAAAGTTCAACAACATGGACGCAGGTTTCGAAAGAAATGAGGCTAACGTATTATCATGGACGTGGACAATAAAATAAAATAAGAAATTCATATTTTGACTTTATCGCTTTATCTTTATAATATATGGCGTAAATAATCTTATTTTATTTTATTATATCTAATTATATTAAATGAACGGCAAAACTTATATTTTTTAATTATTTCGTAATTAAGCATCTTACATCAAGATATGTATCTAGATACTTGTATTTATTTAATGTATTTTATAAAACATTTAATTTGTATAATATATAATTATATATAATATATAAATTATATATAATCTATAATTATATATTCATCATTCTCTATATATATTATGTTTTATAACTTATAAAGTATAATTATATATTTATTTATATGTATATAAATAAATATATATAAAGTGAAATAATGTTATAAATGTATAAAATTATCTGTAAATGCATATAATTATATAACTGCAGAACTGCACTGAAAAAAAATTTGTTAACTTAACTAAATCTTTCAACTAAATTACTATTATTTTAATTATACATATATATTAGTATTTAACTCAAATATATATATGTTTTGTCAGATTTAATATTTTATATTTAATTTAAAAATTTTTATATGTTGAATTAATAAATTATTTAGCTGAAAGACTCAGTAAAGTTTACAATTTTCTTTCGCAGTGTGTCTCAAATTATCTGTAAACGCATATATTATGTTAAATATTTTATAACTAAGAATCGGCATACATTTAAAATGTACTTTATCTAGATATTTATCATTTTTTAAAAATATATTTCATAACATTTATAATTTTAACATAGTAATTTATATAGTGATTTCTATAACATGTATAATATTTTATATAAATATTATGTATATTATGTATATAATATTTTATATAATTTATAATTATCTATTTATAGAAATAATATTAACGAAATGTACTAAAAATTTTTGTACACATTAATATAAGTTTCTTCCAAATAAAATATTAATTTTTGAACAAAAGTATATATTTTTATAAGTTGCTATATCTATAAAAATGTAAGATGAAAATAGAAAGTTGATATATCATAATTACATACATACATTCTTTATTGTGCTCCCAGTGAGAATTACAAGGCACTTTTATAAGGAGTGGTCCCGAACATTTTTTTTTACGAACAAAATTCATATTAATATTCTAGTCATAATTTACTAAATTCCTCTACAATCCTTATTCTTCATTTCAATCCTTTTCTTGCCTTCTCCCTTCCTCTCTTCTCTATCCATTTGGCTCCTACTTTTGTCCTTCTATATCTTCTCTTTCCTATTTGTCCTAAACTTCCCTTCTCCTTCTCCTAATATGCTATTCTCTCTAAATCTTCCTTCTCCTTCTGTTTCCTTTCTTATCACACTCCATTTCCTCTCTATCTTCTATCCTTCCTATTCATCTCCTACTAATTCCAGCTTCTTTACCTAATACACTCTTTATCCCAACATCATGGACCATCCTCCTTATTTCTTCTTCAATTCCTTTCTACACCACGTTGTTTCTTTTCCTTTCTCTTCTCTTATCCTCCTCTCTTCTATTTCTTTCTTGTGCGAAGTATCGCGACCGCGAAGTCGAGGTTACGTGACCAGATGTTACATAATAAATATATTTTTATGCATGAATTGCGATAATAATATTTTACACATGCGTCGCAATTGTTAAGGTTTTATTATCAAAAAATAACTTCGCTTCGCGCACGTAATTATATTCAATTAAACTAAATAAATTTAGAAAAAAATATATAAAAAGATACATATATACAAAATAGTTCTCAAACAATACAAATTTGGCGAATTAAAATTATATATACATAATAGTAATACAGCGAATTCAAATTATGCACATAATAGAAGCTCGGCGAGGTAAAACTATGATCATATTGATAGCTTCGAGCAATCGTCATCCCGAAGATTAATAGTTTAAAAATAATAAAATAAATTATGGAAATAATATCAATGCGCGTGCTTGTATAGTTGTTATATAAAAGTTACAAATATATTAATTGATGTATATATAGAGATTAAATTCAACCGTTTTTATGACAATTATCGTATTTCTCAATGAATTTTGAGACCACTTTTTTATAATTTTATCCGAACCATTGCTGAATAACTGTGTCATAAAAATGTTCAATTACATGCTTTTTTTCTTATATAACGTTGGAAATTAAAAAGATATTGAGACTTTTATGATGGAAATAGTAATTCGACACTCAAATTTGGCGCAAAAGCGTGCAAAGCGAGAGCGCTCGCTAGAGTAAGACCGGTGGCGCGACGTGCACGTTGTTCGGCTTCGAAGGATACGAGGACCGGCGACGACGGGCAGAAGCTCTGTAGAGACCGAAGCAATCACACTCACACATAGTAGCATAAATCACTTCGGTGTAACGACGCGAGTCGAGTACGAAAAGCGCTGTACGGGACGCGAAACCTTTGTAATTTAGTATCTACTGTTTTATCGTAAATACACTCAAGCAACTAGCTAATTCAAAAACCGAGTTCTACCTCATCGCCTCGCTCACGATAAAGCCAACAGGTTATGGGCCCAGGCACGTGTCGTAGCGCGGCGTAAAATAAAGTGAAAAAGTAAAACCAGAAAAAACAGAGTGAGAAAAAAGAAAGAAGAAACAAGAAGGATGTCGGCGAACACGGGGACCGAGAACCTGGACAGCGTGGACAAACTAAAAAACGCAGAAGGCTACCCGATATGGAAATTCCAAGTGGGTATAATTTTAAAAGCTAGTAATCTTTACGAAAATGTAACAACACTGCCCTCGTTAGAGTTACAAAACGAACAGTGGAAAAAAAATGATGCGAAGGCGCAAAAGGTGATAGTCACGACAATAGATAAGCAATCGCTAATACACATCCTAAGCTGTGAGTCGAGTCACGCCATGTGGAAAAAATTAAAAAGTATATATGAGAGAGATTCGGAACAGCACAAATGCGCGTTAATGCAAAAATTTTTGAAGTCAAAAAACCAAAATTTATTGAAGTGGCTACACATATCGCAGAGCTGAAAAATCTAGCTTTCAGATTAAAGGCGTTAGGGGAGAACATCACAGACGAGATGCTGATCTCCAAAATATTGACAACGCTACCCGATAAATACAAATTTTTTTCAAGCGCCTGGGAATCCGTCTCTAAACAGGAAAGAACGTTGCCGAATCTGATAGCGAGGCTTCTGGCAGAAGAATCAAGAAATAACGCAGAAGCCGAAGAGGAACAGATAGCGCTCAAGGCCGAAGAACGCAAGTGCTTTAAGTGCGGGAAGAAGGGACACCTGGCTCGCTCATGTAAAACAGGATCAGAAAACGGCACCGGAAATAGAAGCGTGAAATGCTACGCGTGCAAAAAAACTGGACACAGTACAAAAGATTGCAGAACAAAGCCGAAGAGAGGATGCAAAATCTGTAAAAAGCAAAACCATCAGGAAAAAGACTGTTACTTCAGAAAAAAACAGGACGACGAAAAGGAAGAAAGCAACCAAATATCTTTCTTAGCCGGAGGAGGGGAATCGAAGGAGTAGATAATCGATTCTGGCACAACCTCTCATATGACGAATGACAAGACGAAACTAAGCAGCATGAAGAGAATCCACACAGAAGTGGGAGTTGCAAAAAAGAAAGGATCCATGGAGGCAAAAGGCAGAGGAAGAATAGAAATTAAAAACTGTACTCTAAACGATGTACTCTACGTCCCTGAATTAAGAAAAAACCTGCTCTCAGTGAGTGCGATCACGGAGAAAGGAGGTAAGGTCGTGTTCGAAAAGGATAAGGTATTCGTAACACGAAAAGACGAAATAATACTCCAAGGACAAAAGGACAACTTAGGGCTCTACGTGGTGAAACCACAGGTGAAAATGATCCAAGAGACACACGCGGCAATAAAGCAAAATGAAACCGAAATATGGCACGCAAGATTAGGCCATCTCAGCGCAGAAAACATGAAAAAACTACAGCCACTATCGGAGGGAATGTCATTGAGCAAAGCAGATTTGGAGAAGATCCAACAGAAATGTAAAACTTGCAAGCAAGCGAAGCAATCAAGGACACCCTTCGGAGATCAAAGGAAAAGGGCAAAGCGTCCATTGGAGTTAATTCACTCGGACGTCTGCGGTCCGATAAGCCCCACCACGTGGGATAACAAGAGGTATTTCATAACATTTTTAGATGACTTCACTAACTATACAATGATTTACCTAATGGAGGCTAAGTCGGAGGCACTAGAAAAATTTCAGGAGTATACGGCCCTGGTGGAAACGAAATGGAATAAGAAGATAGCTAACTTGCGCTGTGATAACGGAAAGGAATACACAAGTAAGGAATTCCAAGGCTGGTGCAAAAAAAGAGGTATAAACATGGACTACACGGCTCCGTACACACCACAATTGAACGGCAAAGCGGAACGCCTAAACCGAACGATTGTTGAGAAGGTCAGAGCGATGCTATTCAACAGAAATAACAGTAAACACCTTTGGGGAGAAGCCGTGCGAGTAGCGGCCTTCCTACACAACAGAAGTCCTACAAAGGCAAATAATGAAACAGCCTTTCAAATCTGGAATGATGAAAAACCAAATCTGAAACCGCTCAGGATTTTCGGATGCAACGCCTATGCAAAGGAAATGGGTCAACTAAAGAAACTAGATAAACGGAGCAGTTGCTACAAATTCGTGGGCTACACGAAAAACGGCTACAGACTGTGGGATGCCAAAAAGGGGAAGATCAAAATTTCAAGAGACGTAATTTTCGACGAAACACCCGACGAAGAAGAAAATGTAACAAGAAGATCGCTGATCACGAACGACGAGGAACAAGAAGAAGACGACTACGAAGAAGATGATAGCCAAGAAGAAGACGAACAAGATACAGAAGACGAAGCAGACCATCAAGAAACGGAGGAAGAGTACACAGACCCTGAAGAGGAACAAGACGCACACAAAGAAAAAAAAGACAAAAAAGAACCTGAGACGATACATCAAACACCAAGGAGGACACAAAGAATAACAAAACCCCCAGAAAGATACACAGACTACGGGATGCTAACCTACAGAGAAGCAGTAA